AAGTTAGTGCCATGAATTCAGGATCGGAGGGAACAATAATTAAATAGTTTAAGATCAGTTTGAGCATCTTGAGTTCTGTCCCTCAAATGTTCTCAACATCTATCACACAGATTTCTCTTTATATGAAAAATATGCCTGTTTACATTTAAAAACGTTGCATCAGCAAACGAACCCACACGAGTGAACTTGAACGTGAAGCAGTTTGTGTGCATACGTGAGCTCATGACAAAGAAAAGACAGAAAACTGAGAAGCTTTCGACGAAAAAGACTGGATCACTGAAAACAACAAGGCTTTGCCCTCGACAATGAGTCACAGTACGAAAAACCTGTTCCAGCCTCAGAAACCATCTTTTCGTTTTTTCTTTCTGCCTCTGCTGTTTCCTCATATTAACATAAAGAGATTTAACATATTCTTTAAATATATTTTATTAGCTGGTGAAGTTTCTTCAAAGAACAGTGACGTTTTATTCTTTTTTGCATTATGACGTCAAACATGTTCAATAATTAATGTGACAGAGTAAGAGGCTMAGAATTGACATTGGACAATATTCACAGACTTCTCTTAGTTTCATGTCAATAGAAAGTCGAGGAAAATTGAATTTATTTTCATAGAGAAAATCCAGTCGACATGTTACACTGGACTTTACCGTTTAACTGCCTGTACACCATGTCCTCCAACGAGCGGAGCCTTTTGAGCAGAACATCCTGGTTGATGTCGGGAACCTGTGGTGGCTCGTGGCCGCTCTGTCTCCGTTCATTAGCCTGAACCTCCACACTGGCTTCTTGGATGCTGCCTGTTTGGCTTGTGGTCCAAAAGGTCATAAACCCAGCAAAAGCAAGCACGTTCAGTATCACTAAAATCCTCCATCTCCTGGACCTAACAGCCATGAATGCGTCTGGGAAGGGAGGGCCGCTGAATGCTGAATGAGAGATGTTTGCAAAGCTGCATACATCACCTGGGACTTTTGTAAATCCATCATAACTGACAGAACTGGAAAATCCAACCTGAGCAGCTTCACCAATGTACATGACCWGAAATGATCCAGGTACCTGAGATAGTTACAACATCAGAGAGCTGCTTTTTCATCACCTCTAATATCTATTTACTACAGCGTCGCTCCAACTGCAACACAGAAATCATCTTTTTCTTATATTTTCTGGACCAGGCCAGAGTTTGATTAATATAATACATATAGGTTTAATTAATGTACCGCACTGATGACACGTTTAATTGGGTCTGATTTCACAAATCATCTCTGCACCAAAGACAAAGTCAGTCACTCAACCTTCATATGTCAATAATGCAGGAGGCCAATGGGGTTAGTAAATTAAAATAAAGACGTTTTTCTACATGAAAAGTTTTAATCAGTTGACAACTTAATGTAAGAAGTTAAAAAATGTTCCAGCCTAAACTACAGCTGAGAGAGATGTCGGAGTGACATGTGTGCATCGGGAACAAACCCTATTTTTCTGTCGGACTCCGTTTGTGGCTTGGAAAAGTGTTTAAACCTTAAACACACAAAAACAGACGTTTTTCAGCTATTTTTTTCTCCACTCGCTCTAATTGGGCGAGAGACCTTGACTCCCATGCATTTGGTTTTCGGTATTTTTACGATTTGCGAACAAACCGCTTGACGAATGTCATCGCACAGTGATCGAGAAAAATGCACACGGTTTGATGTACTTTGTGTGAATGTGCGTCAACCTTTGTGGGAGGAGTAGCAGAACAAAAATGTGCGGAAGCATAATAAGCCCGAGGAACAATAATAATGCCGATGCATTGCTTGGGGCTTTGCTAGTTGTGTGCCTCAGTTGCCAAGGCACCCATAATAAGTACACGCCCAAATGTTTGAATAGTTTGAATATTTGAATAAAGGTCAGTAACTGTCTTTGTTTTGTCTTAGTCACAACTGCTAATCGCATCTATTTTCTAACTGCAAATATATTTCTGTCCTACTTATTACAGGATGGTGAAGTGCAGGCTACCGATGAGGTGGTGAAGACTGTCATCACCAGAGGGGCCATAATGTCTGACACAAGTAGTGCGAAGACAGTGATCAAGGAAGCAACTGAATGTAYCAAGAGCCTGTGCCCTGCAGATGGGGCTGATATATACACTTCAATGACTTCTGACAATGGCTGCTATGGGGCCTCTTATGAAGACTATCTCATTTGGGGAGGACGAACCAGCCAAGCAGCATCATTTTTTTACCCCCAAGTATTGTAGGGAGTGGCTGGGCATGTATATTTAGTGAACATCATTGTTAATGGTTAGAATGGTTAGAATGGTTAGAACAGTGCAACAGCTACACAAATAACTGATATCAAAAAATGTAGGATTTAAATAAAATAAAGAAGTTTGGGTAACTTAAATGCAATCATTTGAAAGCTTAACATCAACACATGATATTAAGTTGGTTCAACTTAATTAAGCTTTTAGAGCTCAAAACAAATCATGTTGGATGTACTTAAGTAATAGTATGACTATTAAAGACTTGTCGCATTTACTTAACAATGCCAGAGTTGACTACTTGAAAAGATCCATGCAAATTGTCACCTCAGTTTTTTTCAGTTGAACCAGTGAATTATTTTTTAGCGTGTGTCCACCTCCCTACATGTCTGTGACTCAGCCGCCAATCTCCCCCATCAATAGCAGTCAAATCAGTAAAATGCAGTAAAAAGCCAAATCTTTGCTGTTTGGTCACGTAACAATAAGTTTAAAGCAAAAAATATGTGTGATGCATTTTCCATCTGAAGTTGTTTGCTTTTTTCTTTAGTTTCATATTGAGATGGTTCAGTATTTTTAAACTTAAAGGAGCTTTAGCTTCTCTTTCTTATAAAATGAGGGGAATCTCTGTATTTGTATGGAGTAAACAGTGTCTTCATTTCTTTACATATAGTTTGTATATTTTAACAGTAGTATATACTCAACAGCAGTATTGTAATATTCTTCTTCGTGTATGTAAATGGAGAAAAATGAGCGACACCTCTCAATGTTATRTAACGTGATCACATCATCACCCTGATAAGTGACGTACATTTTGATTTACACATCTCTGACAAAACACACGTTTCTTAAACGTCAACTTCATGACAGAGCTGTTGTGTTGAACTGCAACACATTATGAAGGGGTACCTAATAAAGTGCTCACTTTCCCTCCATAAACACAGGATGTCACAAACGTCTGTCTGTGTTTGTCCTTGAGATTAATTATTAAATCAAAGTTGGGTCAACAAAGACAACGAGGAGCAGAAGGAAAGGTGTCATCACGTCTCACCGCTGCCTCTTCACTCTGAAAACATTGTTTTGAAATGATGTTGTCTCTGTTTCAGGCTCCAGGTTGAAGAGACTCGCATTTCCAGTTGGACTCATTTTACCCTCAGCAGGCTGCATCCTTGTTAAAGGTGTGTCTTCTTTGTGTTCGTGTGGGTAAACGTACATGTCTTATCCCCTGAAATGATTTTCTCCACCAGTGTTGCAATGGTTCATGATCGTTATTACAAATCATTCATCTTAATCACAGTTCGTGATAAGTCCTTTGCAAACTAAGACAAGTGGGTGTGACGCCTGGAGAGCCTGTAAGATGGAAACCGTGAGGACATCTGCCGCTTCAGCAGCTGCATTATCTGTTTGTCTCTCGCTGCAGGTCTGCAGGAGGTGCCCACAACATGTACAAGCACAATAATAAAGTATTTATTTCATACAGCAAAGTTTATCAGTGGATATAGTAAATCCACTTTCTGGAAACTTCAATAAGGAAACCTGGGGAGGATCCTTCTAAACCCATTGGACCATTCAAAGTTGGAGGGAAAAAGATCATTTCATTAAAAACATATTGACTCTTTGTTTAAGTGTCTTTCATTTTGATTTGACCTGTGGTTTCCGCTCCTGACCAGCAGGCGGCGGTGGTGAGCCTCCTACGCTGTTTTCTCGTCTGACAAGCGAAGAAGAAGAAGAAGAAGGAGAAGAAGAAGAAGCAGCAGCAGCAGCAGCAGAAGAAGAAGAAAAAGAAGAAGGAGAAGAATTAGAAGAAGAAGAAGAAGAAGAAGAAGAAGAAGGAGAAGAAGAAGAAGAAGAAGGAGAAGGAGAAGGAGAAGAAGAAGAAGAAGAAGAAGAAGGAGGAGGAGGAGGAGAAGAATCATGTCCTCTGTGAAACTGGTAACTTGTCTTCAGACATTTCGACCTTTTGCGTGATATTCACGTTATATTTATCCACGTGTCATTTAATGAAACAGACTCGCAGCGTCGCACGGTGACGTGACGCAGCGGTTAGCATGTAGCTAGCAGCTAGCTGGCCGGTGAAACACAGTCTGTGTGTGCGGGGGAGCTGCACGTGAGTTGTGTTTAATGTCTGACGAGAGCAGCGACTTGTGCGTGAAGACGCGTCACGCTGCTCTCCTCCATCCTCGTTGACCGGTATGTGTGTTGTGTGTCATCCGGCCGCCAGGTGGCGCTGTGCCCCGCAGCTCCGGGGCTGACGGGCCTGTTGAGCGGCTCCGTGCTCGCTGCCGCAGCCGAGGGGAAGAAGAAGAACTCACAGCCGCTGCTGAGCATCGACGAGGTGTGTGTGTGTGTGTGTGTGGGGGGGGGGGGGTTAGTGACATCTAGTGGTAAAGTGTGATGTTGCAGCTGCAGTAGGTTTAGATTCACAGCTCATCCTGAAGAAACTCACTGATCGACACTCTGTCTGAGTTTACTTTGAATTTCATGGACTTTTTTAGGGGAAATGTAAATACTTATCGTGGGAATATATAAGAATGAAACTGGCTGTAATATCACCTTCAGTGTTTTTTTATATATATATATAAATATGTAGATGTTTGGACGTTCTGTGTTTGTGTGTACTTTTGGAACCTGTTTTTTTTTTTATTGGGTTCATGAAAGTAAGAAAAAGCTTGTAACAGTGTTTTTTCTTGCTGTGCTTGTTGACCCGTCAACTCATTTTAAATGGTTTGTTGACTTTTGTAACTTCCCAGAAATGAAAGAAAACAATTCTTCTTTGCTGCTCCCATATCGTTATAGTGCTGTCATGTCGTTGTTCTCTCGATGTCGGTTGTTTCAGCTGCCGTCTCTTTACACCGCACCCGAAGCTGCGCCTCTCTGCGCCGAGCCAGACGTCGGCCCGTTGGAGCAGAGCGTCGCATCACTGAGGCAATGGGCTGAGCCGTACACGAACCAGTGTCAGGTATGTCTGATGGTTCTCACGCCAGAGAAATAAAAAAAATGAGCAGGATGAGCTGTAACTGTCACACGTGCAGTTTATTTTGTGAAGTGTTGAACTGTTGAGCAGCAGCATCAGGTTTAAACTGATGAACTTGATTTTGTTGTCTTTTCGCAGCAAACCAGTCAGGCTGCGATGGAGACGATTCAGGTGGGTGAACGCTAAAAGCCAAATCTTTGCTGTTTGGTCACGTAACAATAAGTTTAAAGCAAAAAATATGTGTGATACATTTTCCATCTGAAGTTGTTTGCTTTTTTCTTTAGTTTCATATTGAGATGGTTCAGTATTTTTAAACTTAAAGGAGCTTTAGCTTCTCTTTCTTATAAAATGAGGGGAATCTCTGTATTTGTATGGAGTAAACAGTGTCTTCATTTCTTTACATATAGTTTGTATATTTTAACAGTAGTATATACTCAACAGCAGTATTGTAATATTCTTCTTCGTGTATGTAAATGGAGAAAAATGAGCGACACCTCTCAATGTTATGTAACGTGATCACATCATCACCCTGATAAGTAACGTACATTTTGATTCACACATCTCTGACAAAACACACGTTTCTTAAACGTCAACTTCATGACAGAGCTGTTGTATTGAACTGCAACACATTATGAAGGGGTACCTAATAAAGTGCTCACTGTGAAAAGACACATGAGTCACTGTGGCGTTAGCTGCAGGGGCCAGTTCTATTGTTGTATTTATTCGGATTCTGTTGTGAACTATTTGCTGAAATATGGATGAAGGATTGTTACTTTAAATTCTCTTCTATGTCTCTGCTCCACATCTGTCTTGTCTTTATGATTGAAGTCTAAAAAAATCAGTTTAAATGAACCAGAAGAGTCACTTTTAATCCCTCTGCTGATATTCCACCTTCTTAAAGTTCACAGTTTTACTGAACCAAAAGAAATCTCAAATCTGAGGCTTGAACGATTCTCACATAAAAATATAGAAGCCAAAAAAAGTCAAGTAAAAATGTGTTTTATCGCACATGTTAGAGCTCAGCGTGTTTGAGATGAATGTAACCTGCTCTTCTGTCCGGCTCTATCTGCTCCTGCTGATGACCTTTAACCACAGCAAGTGTACAAGACTGTGGAGCCCTCCGTCAACTCGTCAATCACGACAGTCACAGGTGAGAAAATCACATTTCAGACACATTATCAGTCAGTGCAACATGTGGCTGATGTGAATCATCAATAATCAGTAATCATGAGATTCTAGAAAACAGAAACAATGCAGGATTAGATCACCGCATCGAAACCTGATCACCGAAACTGGTTTTAATCTCACATATAATAAAACATTTAATTTAAGCCCCTGTCTACTTTTGACTGTGGAGCTAAAGTTCCAGGATGTGGTATTTTCTTTTATCGCGTGTGCACGAGGTGAATAACTTGTTGGCGCACCACAAACTGGAGGAACGAGTGAGTGTCTGTGTTCCTGCTGATGACTCGGTACAAGAACAGCAAAAATTTCAATATGTGACATTCCAATGTATTCCAAAGACTTGAGGAGTTCTCTCTACACGACCGTGTGTCTGAAGTCAGGCCAATCTTTTTAATACTCTTATTTCCTTTTACATAACTGGGGCAAACATGTCCGACCCCTCAGATGGAAAAACTCTAGAAACTGTATTGTTCCCTGTGTAAGTGTCGAAAGACTTGAAGCTCAGGAGTTTGTTTCTTCAGTCAGTGCAGGATTGTATGTCCTGTCCTGGATTTAAGTACAATCGTTGGTACAGACTACTTCAGGTTGTGATCATGTGTCGTAAGTTTAGTTGTTGTTTTAAACTTGACGATGATATGTAGTTAAATGAAATTTGTGCCAATTAACATTTCTTTTCCCCTGGCTGCTGCCACCTCCTCCAGAGAATTCACTACTTCTTTATTCTATCTGTCAGACGTGTACCAGTTCCTCAGTGACCCCCCCCCTGACCTCTACCCCAGTGTGGCGCTGGTTGGGTTTTCTGGCTTCCTGGGACTTTACTTGGCCAAAGGTAACTTGCACTCACTGACCTACATTCTCCCACAGACGGTCAACGAGCACCCTCACAACAAGAGGGACAGAAAGACAATGTTTTGTCTCGCTGGTTCTGTTCATGCCTGTTGTCCCGCGTGTGTTGTGTTTATCTGTGTGAGAGAAACTGTTGTGTCACTGTTTCATTAAATCACCGATGTTTTAACATAATTAGAATTAACAGCAGCAATGACAAGAGTATTAATCAATAAATGTGGCAAAGATAATAATACTGATAATACACAGGGCAGATAATAATACATTTACACTCACTAGATCTTTAGTAGAGTTTTTATTTGGATCTGCACCAAAGTTCACACACTCATAAACGTGCAATAAACACATGTGATTTATTTTCACTGAGATCCTACGTGTGTTTACATCTCCTGTGGCCCCACATCATGGGAACCGTAGTTTCAAAACCTAGATAAGCAGAAGATAAAGAGCAATAACAGGAGCTTTAAAGTCCATTAACCTTAATCTTTCAGAGAAATAAACTTTAAATAACGATAAAATTTAACACGTTATCCTCAAGTTTCCCTCCATAAACACAGGATGTCACAAACGTCTGTCTGTGTTTGTCCTTGAGATTAATTATTAACTCAAAGTTGGGTCAACAAAGACAACGAGGAGCAGAAGGAAAGGTGTCATCACGTCTCACCGCTGCCTCTTCACTCCGAAAACATTGTTTTGAAATGATGTTGTCTCTGTTTCAGGCTCCAGGTTGAAGAGACTCGCATTTCCAGTTGGACTCATGGCTCTGAGTGCGTCCATGTTTTACCCTCAGCAGGCTGCATCCTTGTTAAAGGTGTGTCTTCTTTGTGTACATGTGTGTAAACGTACATGTCTTATGTGCTGAAATGATTTTCTCCACCAGTGTTGCAATGGTTCATGATCGTTATTACAAATCATTCATCTTGATCACGGGTTTCATCCCCCAGCCCCTGTGCTGCGACGCTACATGAGTTACGTTTACAAGCTGTGTGTGTGTGTGTGTGTGTGTTTGGCTAATGATGTGTCCTGTGTCGACCAGGGGAGTCGAGACTCTGCGTTGACGTGGGCTCAGCGGGGCAGAGTCAGGCTGGAGACTCTGTGGAAGGAACCTCCGTTTGGTAGAAACAATGTGAGTCTTCTTCAGTGTCTAGAGTTTTGTGATCATCTCCGTGAGTGTGTGTTAGTGGTTTGTTGTTGTTATGGCCTCTCTGATTTTTGTGTGTTTTTATTTTTTAAGAAGTCTGAGAAGAAAGAGCAAACAGAGAGCAACGACTCGAGCAGCTGAGACGACACGAAGACGCACGTCCGCATCCCGACAGACGTCCAGTGACGCACACGACCTTGTTTCTTTTAGGTTCATTCTTTGAATATTTTAATGTTCATCCACTCTGAGCTACAGATTCTAACTTGCAGCTTGTGTTGAGTGCGAGTGTGGCGGATGGTTCCCGTCCTGAACGCTGCCGCCTGTTCCACGAACAAACTCTTCACATATCTGATCACATTCCACCCCTCCCCCCACCCCCCGTCCTGTAACCAGTCCCGGTTTCTTTTTCACTGACTCCAGCTCCTCGTGTTTTTATTGAAGTCCACGTTGTTTTCACAGTGTCGTCCTGATGGACCAGATATTTGGCAGTTTGAGCAGTAGAGACAATGATCGTTGTTCGCACCCATGAAGGGATCGTGACAACGATTGAAAAATACAAATAGAAGGAATTTTACAGTTTCCCCCGCAGCTGCAGAGTGTGTTTATGTTCTCACTCTGTTATTGGTCTCGTAAAGAAATGAAATGGAAGGTTTTGCATTATAGTGGAAAAACAAGCTGAGCTGAGCAGGGGAAGAAAAATAAATATAATGATATATTGTGAAGTGGTGCAGCTTCTGTCTCTGGCCACGTCACTCACTGTGTTTTATGAGGGAGAGAGTTTGTGCTCTGAGGAGGTGGAGGAGGAGGAGAAGGTGTCAGTGATTCGTTCACACTCGCGTTGTTCACTATTTATTTGCCCTGATGTTTTGCTGTTTGCTTCATGTTGCATTTCATATAGAATTTAATTAATAACAAAGTGGATGATGCTGTGATTATTGTCCACGAGGAATAAAACCCTGTGTATCCTGTGTGAGGATTAAACACAGAATTTATCTGAGCCGACTTCTGTCTTCATGAATCATTTAACCTCAACACACACATTTATTTCCTCCGCCAAGATTTCGTTGTTTTGTTTTTTTGACTTGAAGCCCAGTGAGCAGATTAGCAGTTAACTTAAGATAAGATAAGAAGTGGAAGGATGAGATGTGGATGAGGGAACAACTCATTACATTATGTTGTGGTCACTTTCTTTTACTCTGAAGTGAATCCACCGCAGTGACCGTAGAGAAAATCCACCTGCTGGAGTCCAACGCCACTGAGACGCTGTGGGAGGAGCTAAGAGCAGCGTTTTTTTTACTGTGTACTGAGCTGAAGCACATTATGTTTGTACTTTTGACTCATATTTAAAGACTAATACACACAAAGCAGGTATTTACGCAGGTTTGACCTGTCCCTCAACAAACCCTGGAGGATTTCATTTTGAGTCTGTGCTGCAGGAAAATGTGGATGATCAGAAAATGTTATTTAAATCTATTTAAATATATAGTTTTAAAGAATATATCAAACCCCAAACGTTAGCACACATGTCCCCCTGTAGGAACATCTTTCTCTTGAAGCTCATGAACACAGTGGTGATCTTTGGTGGACACGAGACACGAGCTTTGGTGCAGAGGAGTCGACCGTCCTCTGCATCGGTTCCTCTTTAACCCACAGAAACTTTACATGACGACGCTTGATGTGATCACACGTCCCTGACCGCAGCTGAAGTCCGTGCAGACAGATGAAGACATTATCAAACCTCAGTGATTTATCTCAGAAGACAGAACAACTCAACCACAAATTAAACCCGTTCACAAAAGATCTAAATCGAATTCTTTAGTAAACGTTTTTCAATATGATGACTGTGGTTTTGTTGAAATGTTTTTCTGTTCTGTTGTTTACTCATAATCTTTGTATTTCCTGTCACCTTGTGTCCAAAGACACATGATGTTTTTTTCCCCTGTGTGTTCAAAATGAAACCATCTCATGCACACAAGTTAAAAAAACCTCTCTGGACTAAAGTGGCTCCACAGCTCACCTCCAGCCTTTGAACTGGATTTAAACTTGATGCCTTCATCTGGAGGAACTGTTGGTTCCAAGTTTTTATCAGGTTCAAATAAGTTTTGAAAGCAGCATGAGACTCGGACGACTCACTAGAAAGTTTTTATGTCAAAGGGAAACTGGAATCCACCACGACACATTTCACTACAACATGAAAGAGGAACTAAACATGATGAACTGTGTCAGCGGTTTTTGAGTCTCACCAGAATCACATGAGCATTTCGTTGAGTCTTGCAGTTTCCCCATAAGACGAAAACTGCAGCCGCTGCCATCGTGTCGCGGCTGCAGGCGGAGTCCAGGCTCAGGATGGCAAAACCAATTCAAATGTTTTTCTTGTGCACTTTTGATTTTCAGCCCCTTTGAACAGATTTTAAAATAGTTTTGGAGCTGTTGAATGATGTGTCTAAGTAAGTGAGTAATTGTTTTATTTTGTCTATATTGTCCGTTAGATTAATAAAAAAAAAAGAATAGAATTGATAACAGGGTTTGTGATCACTCAAGCTGCTCTGGTTGTTCACAGGTGATGGAAAAACACTGTTGAGTGTTTCCAGACTCTTTCTCCTCCACTGCAGTGGAGTTTGAACCATTGTTACTGAACTGGTTTATGATGCAGAGGCAGAGTCCAGATAACAGCCCCAGTTCCATGAGGTCCCTCTGAGTTCAGGTCGTTAAAGTGAACACAGGACGAGTTTATTGTGTCGACACAGACGATGTGAATCTGTAAACTGATGCAGCTGCTGTAAAACAAATTAATCTGAATCCAGGTGGAGCGGAGTCGGACCCTTGTACAGAATCACGAGGCCATGACGTGGGATCGACTATAGTTTTATTGTAAATATAAGTCATCGAAAGTCTTCCCTCCACATCAAATGCATCAGCACTAACAAAGAATGAAAGGTTATAATGAACACAAACTATTCAGAGTAATATATTAGAAACGTGATTAAGCAACAGAGACGTGAACCAGAACACACAATCATGTTATAATGAAAAAGATTTCCCCTTTTTAAATGCTGAACTTTTTTGAAGCAACCCTCGTCTGAGTGGAGGGGACAGCAGAGGAGCTGGACACGCTCTCAGGTGTCCTCCTCGCCCTCCTCTGCTCCGCTCGGCCTCCGTCATTCCTCAGCCGGAGTGGCCATCTTGACGAGGCTGTCCTTATCAAACCTGAACAGCCTCCAGCCCTCCTCCTGGGAGAGGTCCTCCGCACCGCGCCGCTTGTAGAAATTGACGGACGACTCGTTGTTCTCCGCCACCACAAACATCATGCCGGAGCAGCGTGTCTTCATCGCCAGCTGCAGGAGGGACAGGAGTAAAAAAAAAAAATTTTGAAACTTGTGAATATGATCAAGTGGCGACTTTTCTAATTGTCCTATTTCCTAATTTATTTTGCAGCAACAAGAGGAAACATACATCACTGAGGTGCCGCAGGATATCGGAGCCGATGCCCATCCCTGGAGAAAAAGCGAATGGGGGTTTTAAAGCAGGAAGTAGCTGAGATGTGTTTAAACTGTAGACGAGAACAGATGAGTTGTTTTTACCTCTGTACTCATCCATCACGTAGAACTCCTCCAGGTAGAGCTGTTTGCCAACCCAGGGGTCATAAGTAAAGTAGTACATGGCAAAACCCATCACCTTCAGATCTGATGGAGACAGGAAAGTTGAATTATGATGCAGCAGTTCAACATCTCGCTTTAAACCACATTTACACTGCAGCTGAGTGAGTTCTCTGTAGATGGCTGTTACATTTCTTCTGCATTCACGGAGGGGGGAGAAAGAGCTCAGAGATAATCCGTGCTTCAGTTTAACCCTTTGTAATGAAACATGGATATTAGCTTGTTCTGTTATTAAGGACCAGCCTCTGTCTCACGTGCAGCTGCTTCTCTGCGTGAAGCTGAGAGACATTCTATGCATGTCTGAGAATGAAACGTATGAGGACAGTTATTTTGATATCTAGCACCAGGAAAATGTCCCACCCAGTGTCAGCTCAGAGGGATAACTTTGTTTGTTTGCTATGTGCTGTGAACTTCCTGTTTCGTACCATCACTACTGTTCTCCTCTTGGGTTTCAGCGATGATACAATGGTAAAACGGGGTGTCACCAAAACCATCCTCAAGGAGATCTGCAACAAAGCAAAACCTTTTTAACACAAGTGGAAAACGTGTAATTAGTGCGTGGGAATAGACGGAGGTTAAAAAAGAAACTCACCTTTTTCCGTCAGCCTCACCTGGTGCTCCATCTCTTCGTATTTAGCAAGTTCCTGCAACAAGAGGAAAAACAAACGGGATTTATGTTTCCTGCTGAAATCACAATTAATGTCAGTTCATGGATCATTTGATCAACACAGACCAAATAAATACGGTTTCACATTTTATTCAGGTCGATATCGATGATTGAAAATGAAGCTGAAACTTTAAAATGTCCTGAAATAGTGTCAGTGAGGGGGGGGGGGGGTTAGATCCGTTTAAAGGTTTAACACTAAACATGTGTCGTCTGTGCTGCTCGTGTTGACATGTGTGTAAGTGTTGACATGTGTGTAAGTGTTGACATGTGTGTAAGTGTGTCACAGCACAGGTTACACAACTCGATCCTCAGGTACCGATCCCCGGGACGGAAGTTGTCTGGGGGGGGGTGTGTGTGACCATATTTGGATGTCCGCGGTGAGCTTGTAAACAAAGGCCGAGGACACTGAGCCCTCGGTCGGAGGATGTCCGGGTGTTTGTCCCGCATCCTCCGGCTCTCCGTCCGGCTCTCTGCACCCACCGCCTCCTCGCCCTTTAACCGGTTCAATCCGTCGGCTCGAGGGGCTCGCGTGACTTAATTCGCCCGGAGTTCGCTGAAGCTAACCGAGCTAGCTGGGGGCTAATGCTAACTGGGCTAGCTGAAGCTAACCGAAGCAGCTCAGCTGGGCCCCGGCCGGAATTCAAACCGGGGGGAACACTGACGTGCAGCCGCATTGAAAGCCTTATTCTCGGTGTGGCCCACTCACCTTCACCAGTCGTAATATATCAGACACGTCCCTTGGCTCGGCCTTTCGCAGCGTATACTCCATTTCCTCCTTTTACTCTTCCTGCCTTTCGTTAGAAGTCCTCTGTATGTGAAGTGAAAGATCAGGTGTTTCTTCATTCGCTTCTCAGTGGCTTTTCCCCCACAGTCAGCCTCGGGTCCGGACGCGCTCGTCGAATCAGGAACATCCAGTAAGAGTCGCCCTCAGCCGGGTCGCTGCCGTCCAAATATCCCCGTCTTTTGTTTACATCGCCCTTTTTATACCCGGCTCCAGCTGCACGCCGATTGGCTGGCCCGGGTCGGGGCTCAGGGTTTTGACCAATTACCGGCGCTCTCCGGGGGCGTCGGACCAATCAGCGTGGGAGGATCGCTGACGTGACGCGTCTGTTTTGATTCTGTCATAAGATCCTTGTTTTGACGGCGGAGGCAGAAGCTCAGGAGCGAGTTGGGTGATTTAAGTTAACCAGCTATTCTGCATTCAACATGAGAAGTGTGCACAAGCACCGCAGTTTAAAGATAATAATGTCACCTGTGCATTTACAACATCGACTCACACCGAACAACTGTTTGTGTGAAGAACAGTCATCAAACTGTAGGTTCTGCAGACACTGGGGGTAGCCTCTGATACCTCAGTGTCAAAATGCTCGGTTGCAAGTTCTGCAGGGGAACGACAGACAGACAAACATACGAGGAGCAGCACGAGTGGAATTCACCAACTCTCTCGGACAGCAGGTTCAGTTTAGGTCAGGCTGTATCAGAGTTACGACTCTAGAACGCAGTGTTGGAAATCTGCACATCCCAAACCTACAGGGTTACACAACAATGCACCTCTGAAGAGTCAAGACACATAAACAAAACCACAGGGAAGATTGATCAGCGAGTTTTAGTTTGGGTCAAGGTCCAGCAAACACATGACAGTAAACAACAGATTCTTATGTTGACCCCAGCTGACCGGAGCATGCAAACCCCTTTTCCCTCTGCTCCAGTTTGTAATGCACATTATATCTTATACATCTGTCATCTCTAAATATAATGGAGACTCTTCCAGAGCCACATTAGACATGATATAACTGTTGTCCTGAACTACAGCACAACAACAACACTTAATACACTACAACTTTACAGGTGCAGGAGAGTAGAAACAAGCCAGCTGGCTGATTCACTCCTGCAGACACAAGTTTCCATGTTTAAGATTGTTAGAATAGTTTTGTTCTGTGAAGCTCATGGAATGTTTCGACACTTTCTGGTTTAATAACAGCACCATGATGAAGGGTGTGTTTACTGTCGTTCTCATCGCTGCTGGTCAGAGATGGAGCCGATTCACTACACGTGCGCTAATATGCACACACACACACACACACACACACACACACACACACACACACGCACACACACACACGCACACACGCGCACTAACATTAACATGGGACAGAACAGGTGAACAAAACAGCCTGACAGACTAAACTCAGGGAAAGAAGAAGAAGTAGAAGCCTGACAGACTGAACTCAGGGACCCAAGTTCCTCGAACAAAGCGGTGAGTGTGAGGTCATCGTGTAGGGGGCGGGGCCTGGGCACCAGGCGGAAGTGTTAGCTCCTCAGACTGAATAAAGTTCGTGGCTCAGTTTTGTTGTTTCCGGAGAATTCTTTTGACGCTCTTCCTCCTCTTCCTCCTCTTCCTCCTCCGGACACCGGGACCTTCATCTGTGTCACCGCGGACTCAACATGATCTCCCCCAGGTCAGTGAAAACCCCGGGCTAACTGTTAGCATAGCCACGGTGCAGCTAACAATGCTAAACATGCTCGTGAACGCGTCCTGACAGATGTTTCCTCCTCCGCTCATCTTTGAGACTCTTGTTAAATGAGGTGAAGAGAACAGCCACATCTGGAAATAGACAGGTCCCAACATGGTGGAGGAGTGTTGGCACAGAGGGTGGGGTCCGGCAGGGATGCTGTCTCACCGGTAATACAAGTACAACCTTGAGATACAAGTACAACCATGAGATACAAGTACAACCATGAGATACAAGTACATCCATGAGATACAACCATGAGATACAAGTACAACCATGAGATACAAAAATAAATAAAATAGATAAATAAATGAAGCTACATGTGGCTCATATGTGCCATTAAAGGAGGAATGGTCTGTGTTATCAAATGAGCTAATGTTACCATGTTATGTACATGTATGTATTAACTGTGCTCTGAAACTTTACACGTGTGTTGATAACGGACTGAAACATCTGGTGACGTCCAGCAGTGTGTGTGTGTGTGTGTGTGTGTGTGTGTGTGTGTGTGTGTGTGTGTGTGTGTGTGTGTGTCAGCTCAGCTGTTCACTGTGGACAGATCCGATCCAACAGTTATAATTAGAAGAGGAAGATGAGTGTGGATGAATCTGGATCTTTGAGGTCACCCTGTTTGTTTGTTCTCTGGAGAGAGGCAGGGATCTGTTTTTAAAGATCCGGTCCACATGTACATTTGATCATACTTGGAACATTGACTGTTGTTGAGCATGAAATGATCGCCCTCGTGAGGTATTATCTTCCTGTGTGCAGACGGTAAATGGTTTTCTGGTTTGTTTGTTGTCCTCGCGTGGTCCGCAGGTTCCTGCTGCTCCGCTCGGCCGCGTCCTTGACGACCAGGTCTCTCTGCACAGGGGGGGTGTTGAAGCAGGGCAGAGCGCCGGACATGGCTGAGGGTAAGATGCCCGTTTGACTGACCCACGGCCTGGTTCAAACTCTCACCAGGTTTCTGATAGCACAGTTTTTTCTTGTCTGATGTCCTGATGACCTTCAGAGTGAAAAGAACGAGGAAATGATTGTTCATTATTCTTCCAAACATTTAATTTGATCACCTTCAACTCAGAATCCAACAAGTGATCAAAACATTTCTTTAATTCTCTTCTTCATTTTGCACAGCTTGTGTGTGTCCTGCGTTTGTTGTGGTGTTTATCACAGTTTCTCGCAGACAGCTTTGGATTCCTGATCAACAGCATAATGTTTCTTTGTCTATGAATGTGACGTGTAAAATGTAAACCTGCAGCCAGGTGTCTCGTGTGATCTCTGGTAAAATGGTGCCATATTTAATGTCTTTGTGAATAAATCCCAAACCTCTCTCCTCGTCACCCCACATCTAATTTAATCCTGTTTGTTTCTCCGCAGGAAATCCACTCTTACACGTGTCGAATGGTGTGTGTTGGTAAACTCAGACAAATCTTAACCATCTGTGAATCTGCTTCTTGTCCTACTACTTTATTCAGGAATGTCTGTCTTTCTGTCCGTCCGTCTGTCTGTCCTTTGATTTCCTTGACAATCGCTCATCCAGTTGACTTCAAACCAGCAGTGTTGACTGTGACGTGTTAAGGTGATGAGCGGTTCTCGAGACCTTGTTCCTCGCTGCCCCACATTAAGCTTCACCTGCTGTGATGTCACTGGCTGTCGTCGTCATTATCTTTGCATGTTTCTCCACTGACTGAGCGTCCATTTTCTTTTTCCTGCAGCCCACCTTGTTTCACTGGGCACCAGGTCTGACTCTTGGACTAACGCTCTCTTCCTGCTCCACAGTGGAACTGATCTCTGATCTCTCCCTGCAGCCTTAGTTGGTGACGTCTGTTTTCTTCCTCTGTACCACTGAGCTTCATTATTTTGTTGGAGCTGGTTCCGTCTGTGTTGTTTTATGTCGTCTCGCTCTTTGGGCCTCAGTTTGCTGAAGCCTTCAGACAAGGCTAAATTAAATGTGTTTACTTCAAATCCAAACACAGTCTGTTTGTGTCTGACGGCTGTCAAAGCTCTCAGTGTTATTCATGGAACTTGTGGCGGAGACAGTATGAAACATACAGCCTTTCACCAAACACAGAAAATCAACACATGCACAAGTTCTGACTGACTCTTCTGTGGTTTTCAGTGCGGAACAGGCTGAGAGAGATCGTAGGAGCTTCCACCAACTGGAGGTACTGAACCAAAACCACGATTTCCAGATTTTGTTTATATCTTCATGGAGGTTATGTTTTCACCTGTTGTTTGATTGATTCTGAGCAGCGTCACACAAAATCATCTCAGACTGAATCACTGTTATTAATTAATTCTATATTTGAAAAGAAAAAGAAAAGTAACATTTTAATAAGAGGTACTTTCCACTTTATTTACAAACTTGGAATATTAATGTATATTATTCGTTTAAGTTTTTTTACATATGTTACTGTTAATCTTAAAATTTCAATATTTTTCACACATTGCCAGCGAGTGTATCTTTAAGGTTTTTATATTATAGGTAATACAGTTTCTAATCACCTCCACAGTGACCACCAGCACGCCATGGCGGAGCGAGTGTCGCTGTCCTCCATGTTGGCAAAGTCTCAGCAGGACCTTCCAGCAAAGACCATGAAGGACAGCTACCTGGAGGTTCACCTGCCTCTGGGCTCCGAGCCACAGCTCCGAGAGAAGTACCTGACCTTCCACAACACTGTCAGGTACACACACACACACACACACACACTCACAAATTACCATGAGAGGAGTTTCTTGTCTCTAAATCATCGTCTGTCTTTTCTCAGGTTTGGTAGAATCCTGGAGGACTTGGACAGTTTAGCAGGTGTCATATTATACATGAAGAATACCGTTTATATATTATATATTATTATAATATCATTATATGTCACTCAATCAGACACCAGAACATTTTCTTTCCTGTTTCTCTCCTCAGTTCTCATATCTTACTCCCACACCTACAACCCGGTACTGAAGAGGTCTCCACTGTCTATCGTCACAGCTCTGGTGGACAAAATAGGTAAGAGTCCCATTTAGTGTCCCACCACAGTTTGTTAAGTTTGGTCCTGGTTGTTGGTTTGGCCCTCAGTTGTCAGCTGGGCTCCCCTAAAGATTCATTTCAGTCTTTATTAATCTGCCAGTTATTCTCTGGTCTCTAAACTGTCAGAATATAGTGGAAAGAAAGACAAAGCGAAGACCAACATCCAAACCCCACAGATATTCAGTTTAACATGATAGAAAGAAAACCAGTGAACACTCTCACTGACAGACTTGAACCTTTCTGTCATGTTTCCTTAGAAAAAGACCAAAGCAAATGATCAAGGATTGATTGATGGTTTTAGCCTCGATAACCCTTTAACCTTTCAAAATCAAAACTGTTTATTGAAGAAGTCAAAGTTGTCTCTGTGGTTCCATGTTAAAGACATATTCATGTCTTTTTTTATCTGTTGGTCAGACATGAGGCAGCACGTCATCTATCCTGACTGCGACATCAAGTTCACTGGTCATGTGACCTGGGTGGGGAAGACGTCTATTGAAGCCAAGATGCACATGTCACAGGTGGACACCTTTAACCTGTCTGCACCACAGACGTATAAAGACATAAGAATATGTCCTGTAAAGTGTCTCTGTCTCTTCCTCCAGTACCATGATGGAGCTTATTCCCCAGTTCTGGACGCCACGTTTGTCATGGTGGCTCGTGACCCAGAGAACAAGAGGTAAGACCCTCGGATCCGCCTCCGGATAAAACTCGTCATCCTCTGACCAAACTTTTCAGAAACATCTCAGAGACAATCTGACTAAATCATTTTCTGGGGTGAGAACACAACAAAACAAACCTTCAGACTTGTTCCGCCCTCCACTCACGTTCTCTGTGCTTCACTTCAGGGCAGCGTTTGTGAATCCACTGAAGCCTGCGGGGACAGAGGAGGACATGATCATCAAGGAAGGAGAAGGTATGCTGTGATTCCATTACTTTTGAGAAAATTATATGATGAACTTTTCTGTCCCTCTTTTCTCTGAATTGTTTGTTTGTGCTTCCAAGCTAATAAATCCCGCCGCGTGGAGCTGAGCACGGCATCGCTGCTGAAGGTTGCTCCCACAGATGAGGAGAGGAAGATCGTGCACAGTCTGTTCCTCAACACCCTGGACACAAAGTACGGCTGAGGTTCAATGACTTTATACATACGCTCCGCAACATTCCCTTTAGGTTCCTTCTGAAGAGCCATGACCAACACGAGGGTATTTAGAAACGAGTGGAATTGAGTCAGAATGAAGAATCTTATTTGTTTAAAATGTGTGATTATATTTTAGATGTATGTTTTCTGTGCGTCTCCTCCTGCAGGACGGTCAGTTTCAGAGGCAGAGTTCTGCCTCCGAACTCCATGTGGATGGAAGACGCCAAACTCAAAGGACTGGAGATCTGCCACCCTCAGGTGAGAGGAAGGATCGGCTGGAAAATAAAGACGGAGGTAGACAGTCTGAGGCTTGATGCTTCTACACTGATGTTACATTTAAGATGTGAATCTATCACACACGAGTCTCAAAGGTTTCCTCCAAGGCAACTTCTTCATTTGACGACACAGACTGAAACAACAGTTTCACAGAACTGATTCAACAACTTCTGGAGTGTCAGTGTCTTTTATCTGAAGACTTTGAAGAATGTCGTCATCTGGTTTATCCGTAATCAAAATAGCCGTTAGCTGCAGATGTTCTCTTCATCTTTTAAAATGGTAAAGACCTGTCGTTGACTTCGTGTCAGTAACTCCTGGTTGTTTACATTCTAAACAGGTCGTGGAGCTTAAACATGTAATTTTCTGTTTTTTTGATTTTTGCAGGAGAGGAACATCTTCAACAGGATATTCGGAGGTTTTCTGATGAGAAAAGCGTACGAGCTGGGCTGGGCCAACGCCTGCTCCTACGGGTGAGGGAACAGTAATCATGTTTGATTTTTAGAAAGATAATCAGAGGATGTTTGTTTGGTGCTAATTGACAAACCAAGTGACATCATCTCTCCTGCTGTGCTGCAGAGGATGTCGACCACGTCTGGTGGCTGTTGACGATATCCTGTTCCAGAAACCTGTGGAGATCGGCTCTTTGCTGCTGCTCTCATCACAGGTTGGAGAGAGAGAGTGTGTGTGTGTCTGTGTGTGTTTCTGTCAGGCAGTAATTGTTAACACCAGCAGCGTGTGTGTGTTTCAGGTGTGTTACACACAGGGGAAGTACATCCAGGTCAGAGTTCACAGCGAGGTGTTCGACCCACTCACCCGCCAGCACAACACCACCAACGTCTTCCACTTCACCTTTGTTTCAGACCGTGACGTCCCCAGCATCATCCCCAAGACATACGGAGGTAAACACACGCAACTCAAACACATCATATACATGGAGAAAATCAAATGATGAAAAGTACTGTTGGAAAAGTTGTTTCTGATCCGTGTGTCTTTCATAAGAAGCTGATGTTTTCTTTTTGTCTGACAGAGTCGATGTTGTACCTGGACGGAAAGAGACACTTTAACCAAACAGTGGAGGACTGAGAGATCACGCTCAGAACGTCCTGCCAAAGCCTTTCAGCGTCTGACACAGTGTGTGTACGAGTGTGTAAGAGTGTGTGTGTGTGTGTGTATGCAGATAGTTCAGTGTACTTCAGTCATACTTATATTACGCCCTGCTCATTTATTTTTCACAACCCACACGGTCACTGCATCTGATTCCTTTTACATTCTTTGCCCTGGTGGTTTTACAGTTCTGGTTGTTTGAAGCACAGCAGCTTTTTTGAAATGATTTTTTTTACTCTTTGTGTCACAGTTTCACGACCAGTGAGAGTTTACAGTTCCTCAGCAGGAGAACTCGAGGCAGACGTTGAGCTTCCTGACATTGTTGTAACCTCATATATTCACTATGTGCATGGCTTTATTACAATATGTTATTTTATCTTCCACTGTATAACTCTATAAAACTCCCTTACTCTGCTTTTTTTATATGGAATGAGGAGCTTGATCCTGAATGTGATGTGTCAGATTGCTGCGAGAGGAATGTTGTCATCATATTCTTTGCCTTACGTTACACAAATACAATAAATACATTTTTATTTATCTTGACTTTGTTGTTGTGTGTTTTGTTGTATTATTTATTTATTTATTACTCATTATATTATTACTTCTCACTGCAACAGACCAGCACTGACCCAACCTTGTCGTAAAAAGATTTTTATATTTGGAAATAAATACATTTTCAAACACATGAACACACATATAAGTTAATAAATGTTGATTAAAAATATGTAAATAAAATGAGCAGAGCATATTTATTGAAATTTATCTATAAATACTATTTGGTTAATGTAAGAATAAATATTAATAACCGTAATTTAATAATGAAACAATAAAGAAATGAAGGAATGATTCACAAATGAATTGAGTATGGCAATAGATGAAGAATATTTAAATACACGCAGGAATAATTATTTAAGAAATGAAACTAAAATGATGTATAAATACATATATGAAGACAATATATAGATATTATAGGGAAGTAAATGATATAATAAATGAAGATTATTAATATATTTTAATAGATCATCCTCACATTGTATCTACGTTCCTCATCAGAACTTTAATATGTTTCAGATTCACTCTTGGCTTGGATCACGTCCTCTTTTAATTTCTAACAGCTGTAAAAACTTTTTAATTTAAATGGGAGCGCTATAAAAGCTTGGCGGAACCAAAGCTCTGCTGAGCCCGTGCTCCCCGGACCCATTTCCCGGACGGACCCCAACAAGGTATTTAGCAGCCCGCAGCAGCTGCTCATTAATCCTCGGTCCTCGCTCGGTAGCATGAAAACCATGTTGACCATCATCTCCAACGCTCTTTGTCGGATCACTGGCAGGAATGTGGTGAGTGCTCCCGGGCTGACGTCGAGCTGGAGGCCGCTTCCGAGCCGAGCCGGTCCGTGCTAACCCACGGTTAGCCTCGTTGGGCCTGGCGCTGACCTTGCGAGCGGCTAACGCGGCTAACACGTAACATTAGCATGTGGTTAATCGGGTGAACGGTGGAAAGGACCCGGGTTCAGTGTGTGGGGGTGTGGAGGCGGACATGTCTGTGATCTAACATGTGCTTGTGTGTCTGTGCTTGTGTGTCTGTGCTTGTGTGTCTGTGCTTGTGTGTCTGTGCTTGTGTGTCTGTGGTGGTTTGTCCTCCTCAAGCAGGAAAATACAGAAGTACTGATCTTAATCTGCTTTTAAATTAACTCCACGCAGCCATTCATGAACCTTCGTGACGAGGTTAAAGTTGGTTTCTACTTGTTACTTCACTTCAAGTTGTCAAACAGACACTACTTTTATATGACAATACTCCACTAACTTAATATTCTCTGTTAAACAGAGTCTTTGTCCAGAAATAACAAGTTATTAATTTAACGAGATTCATATTTATATCCCTGTCTTTCCCTGTGCCGTCAATACATATCATTTATAATGTGAAAATACAAACATGATGGAAAAGTAAAGAAATGCACATTAAACACATCACGTGCATCTTCATACATTACTTTGTATGTTGTGTTATATTCTAACATGGGACCACATGTTACAAAAGACAGAGGCATGAGTCTGCTGCTAATAGGTTTGCTTTAAATACAGGAAACATATTGAAGCAGAAGCCATTTTAACCTTGTTATTTGTGACTATTCTGCAGCATTAATAGCAGAATAACAAGATGCTCCGCAATGCTTCTTCTTGCTGCATGTGTTTGCATGTTCATTCAGACAAAAGCGTGTCGGTGACGCAGCAGATGAGAGTTGATTATTAGCGGATATTGTTTTCAGCAGTGAATCTGTATTTTCTTTGTGTTTAATAGCGAAAGCTGGAGCGCTGGCAGCAGCATGTTGTGTCAGTAACGGCAGAGTCTCCACAGGCAACAGAAATAATTCATCATACATGAGTTATATCAGCTCATTATAGAACTAGTGTTTTCTGTCTCTACACACAAACTGTGTTTCATCACCAGTCCCTTGTGACACACTTCATAGATTTCCTCGTGCCTGTAGGGACTCTGTTGTTGTTCAGCTTCGTGTTGAGCTGTCGCTCCGTCCCTCCTGCTTCCTCTCCCTGTGTGTTCACTCTCGCACATGTTACACACACTCACAACAATCCCTATTTATTTCTCGCTTCTCTCCCTCCTCTCCTCCCCCTTCCCCTCGCCCCCCCCGAACCCTAGGGAGCCCAAACAGTGTCGGAGGTAAGCAGCTCGTCGCTCTGCTGATGTTTGTCTGTAGGCCTCATCCTTCACTTCCTTCCCTTTCTGTTGTTTCCCAAGGAGCTTCTCTAAACTGGACAACATGGTGCAGCTGAAAGAATTCACTCTAAAAGAATTGTATCTCAGGAATCTTACCCAGAGTGCAATCTGTCCTTCTTTTATAGTTTAAAGCAGATCACAGAATCTTTGATTGTGACAGGAGTACTGTGTTTTACTCCTAATAGATATAAATACACATACAGACACACATACTGCAATAGACACAACAAATATGAAGTTCTGAATATATTTGTTTTGCGATGCAACTGTTTTCTATAAATCTGTTTCTTTTCTTAATGTGATTTGATGAGTCTAAACACTGTGACTATGTTTTAAGAACAAATCTGAAATAAAATGATGAAGCTGTTGGTGAAAGCGTGACGATGTTGTGCCGCTCCTGAAGTATCAGCTGTGCGTAGACACTGTTGGGCCATGTTTCCCATGTGTCCGTTCTCCATGTAGCTGCTGCTTCTCCTGTTTTCCTCTGTGGACGTCTCCTCGTCTTGTGCACTCTGTCGAGCTCCTCTGGCTCTGCTCTGTTCTGATTGGCTCCTGTGTTCCCCAGTTGCTGGTTGACCTGTCAGAGTACGTCAGTCTAACCTCGCCGTCGACACCCGACTTGGCAAAGACCCAGCGGCAACCACCCAAACCACCACCAGTCAGTACTAGAGCGCCTGTCGAACAGTTAGTTAGCCCCCAGAGCGACCCGCTAGATGCACCAGTAAGAACACGACCAACTTCCTCTATGTCTGCCTGATCACTAACAGGGCTGGGAAAGAAATCTGATTTAAAGGAAAATAACCTAAGATAAGATTGACTCTGTTCTCTCCATCTCTTGGTGAATCGGTCTTTGTCCCTTTTCTTTTTGGGAAATGTGTTAATTCAATAAAAGATGAGTTCAGGGTTAAACGTCTTTTAGCCGGTATCAGATGTATTTTTTCTTACGTTTCACAGATTAACTGAAGAACTCGGATTGCAACTAACACTTGTTTTCATGGATAACAATCTCACCCTGTGAATCTATTACATTTTGTTCAGCATTTGGATTTTTGACAAATTAAGCACAGTCTGGTTTTACTCTGCCTCCCTGTTACTGACCTTCACACATCACAGTTATAGTTGAGGTCTTGTCCACTGTAAACCACTGGACCCTCCACCCTGATCCTCTGCCTCTCTACACACACTAACCCTGCAGCTGCTGTGAAGAGGAGGGCGGCATCACGCTCGCTGTGTGTCTGTGTCTGCAGAAGACTTCTGTGCGTTTAATTGAACTGTGATGCTGCAGGGATTGATTTTTTTGTCTACCTGATTTAATGTTTTGTGTGTGCTCTTGTCCACCAGGGTGCCAGAGTTGTGGTGTCACGCTCCTTCGCTGACTTGACCACTCAGGCGACCTTTGACATCAAGGTGCAGTGAAACAAACAAATCACATCAGATTCTTTGTACGTTTTCTGGTCTTCATGCAAATTTTGAAGAAGCTGCTAAAGGATTTTTCTTCCTCACTGTCGTCTTGAGTAGAAATGCGACCTGCACCGTCTGGAGGAGGGTCCCCCGGTGACGGCGGAGCTCACTCGGGAGCAGGGTCTGCAGTATTACCGCACCATGCAGACTGTGAGACGCATGGAGCTCAAAGCCGACCAGTTGTACAAGCAGAAGATCATCAGGGGCTTCTGTCACCTCTACGATGGACAGGTACGAACACGCAAACACAGATTACACGCCATCTTTTGTGCTTCGATTTATCTTCGTCTCTCTGTTCACTTTTAATTAAATCTGCGAGACAATTTCATCTCCTCTCACAGGAAGCGTGTGCCGCAGGCATCGAGGCAGCCATCAACCCCTCTGATCATCTGATCACAGCGTACCGCGCACACGGATACACGTACACCCGCGGCGTGTCCGTCAAGGAGATCCTGGCAGAGCTCACAGGTGAGGGAGTGGTTAATGGATTTGTGTGGGTTGAGCTCAGCTGTTAATCGCCTGAAGTGCTTCTACATTTCATCCCTTCACGTCTTTGTTTCTCCTCAGGTCGTAAAGGAGGCGTGGCCAAAGGCAAAGGAGGGTCAATGCACATGTACGCTCCACATTTCTACGGAGGCAACGGCATCGTGGGAGCGCAGGTAGCACAACGCACAAGCAGCATGAACAAACACGCATCTGGTGGAACGTTGTGTGTCGCTCTCCTGGTTTTTGACGCCTGCTCAGATATCGTAATCTTTCTGACTCTGCTGTGATATTGTCCAGGTTCCTCTGGGAGCAGGAATCGCTCTGGCCTGTCAGTACCGGGGCAACAATCAGGTCTGTGTCACGCTCTATGGAGATGGAGCCGCCAATCAGGTAAGATGACCAGAGATATGAGGCGTAACTTTCAAATACACAAACTAGTTTTATTTAGTTTATCTTCTGATTGTGTTTCGTCCTCTCTGGTTCAATCAGGGGCAGATCTTCGAGACGTTCAACATGGCCTCCTTATGGAAGCTGCCGTGTATTTTCATCTGCGAGAACAACAAGTACGGCATGGGCACGTCGGTGGAGAGAGCTGCAGCCAGCACCGACTACTACAAGAGAGGAGACTTCATACCAGGAATCAGAGTGAGACGCAAACACCACACACACGTGAAGCAGGAAGCAGCTTGGATGTTATTTTTATTTAGGCAGCTCTGATGTTAGAATAAACGATCACTGTCGTACTTTGACGGCGGCCAAACGTGGGGGTCTTGTGGCAGAAGCTGCAGCTTGTCTGTCGGCCGTACGCTGCAGCTGGCCCTGTATGGACCTAGACTATAACAGGAAGCTGATAAGCTGTCCTGGCAGTTGCAGGTGTGAGCATGCACCCAGCTGTCTGATGCTCATGTATGATACTGCACACAAACCATTCACAGGAGCCTCAGCGCTCTGGCTGCTCATTTATTATAATGACGCTTCATGGAAACTTTATGTTCTTCCCTGACGTCTTATGATGTTTGTCTTCTTCTCGTAGGTGGATGGGATGGATGTCCTGTGTGTCAGAGAGGCCACCAAGTTCGCTGCAGATCACTGCAGGTCAGGAAAGGTGAGCTGAACGTACAGATTTTAGAAAAGTGATGAAAAACCAGGGCTTCAGTCCTTTTTATTTCTGAATAGATCAACTTGACTTTGAAAGTTAAAGGAGATTTTTGAAAGGATGAACTCTTCAGAAATGTCCTGTTGTGTGTTCCAGGGTCCCATTATCATGGAGCTGCAGACCTACCGCTACCATGGGCACAGCATGAGTGACCCTGGGGTCAGGTGGGTTATACTCCTAAAATATGTAATTCTGTTTTATTTCTTCACTCTGGATACATTTCTTGAGTTTAACTTCAGTCTCTGGTTCAACTTCAGGTGTAGAGAAATTAATTTTCCTTCAGTCGTGATAAACAAGATCATTTATTCTGTCATGTCACCTTGTGCAGCTACCGCACTCGTGACGAGATCCAGGAGGTTCGCAGTAAGAGCGACCCCATCTCCATGTTGAAAGAGCGCATGCTCACCAACAACATGGCGTCTGCCGAGGAGTTCAAGGTGAGTGCTCACAACTAATGTAAACTTCAGTCCATGTAATATAATCTATGTAAAGTTAAGTAATGTTTGAAAATATATCTATTGCAGTAAATCTACTTCCCCTAACCTGAACCAAAGTGCTTCTGTTTAACTCAACCACAGCAGCTTCTCCCCAAAACAGGAAACTATCACATCCATCTTTTTATCTGATGAAGTGTAGAGTTGATCACATGTGTCTCTCTGTTGTCAGGAAATTGACATTGAGATCAGAAAGATGGTGGAGGACGCAGCTCAGTTCGCCACGTCAGACCCAGAGCCGCCGCTGGAGGAGCTCTGCAACCACATCTTCTACAACAGCCCACCACTGGAGGTCCGCGGGACCCACCCCTGGTCCAAACTCAAGTCCATCAGCTAGACCCTCACAAACAGTCCGACCTTCAGGGGAAGAACGTCCTCCCAGTGCTGAACAAGGCACTGCTCAGAAACGTTCAGCACCTCCTCCCTCCACCTTTTAGATCTCAGCATTCCGCACCTTAATGGGACTATGACCCGAAACCTCTGTGTTATTTATTTTCTGTTTTACATAGAAATATTTAAGATTTATTGTTTGTTCTGATCGGTCTGTGTTTTACCATCAGAGTTTGACAGATGTATTTAGTGCACTGTGTGTACTTTTAAAGGTGACTACACAGGTTTTAAGTACTGCCGGACTAGTATACGCACAAACGTTACGCTTTACATTTTGAACTTTAGTTTTCTCAGTGTGGTATATCTGTTACATATTTCCTCTGTGTTTATCCAGCGTCTTTAGCTTTTAAATGTTCAGAAACAAATCTAATACTCTTAGTTTGTGAAAACATGTTTTAAAAAAACACACAGGACAAGAAGAGCCATGAGTTTCAAGATTTATGTATTTTTTTGAGTTGAAGGAGTTTTAGGACAATTAAGATTGTTGAGCACTGATGTCAGCCTGTATTTCTCCTCTTATATGCACTACAATATATTTTATTCTTTCCAGTTTGCAGGACATGAGTTGTAAGAGTCTGTTGTTTGACGACCTGAGTCTTTCCTCTGTGTAAAGAAAAGCACTTGATGCCAGTAGATGATATTTATGTTACACTTTATTTTGGGGGGAATGTGACGGTTTAAAAACGAAGAAAATGTATAATCTTTCTCGTTTCAAGTTCCTCACAGTGTGTATTCTAACCATGAACAGATATAAAGCTTTACTTGACCATGTATGAGTTTGATGAACTGAAACACTGTCGACACTGTAAAATAAACAGAGAAGGTGACTCTGGTCTCTCTAATTTCTCGTGTACATATTAATATCAGTAATAAATGAACTAAATGGTGCTCTTGAATCTTCACCTATTTATATACAGCTGACATATTGAGATATTACTATAAGAAGTAATACAGTTGAGCTAATGACGCAATATTTAATAAATAAAGACGACACTTGATGCTGAAGGAACAAATGAACAAATGAACCCTCGGAGTTGTGTTTTCTTCCCTCAGCCACTAGAGTTCAGCAGCAGACTGAGGAGTCTTCATGTCCTCGTGGAGCAGAGCAGCGTCTGAACCAACCAGAGGAACAAGTCTTATAATTAACTATGAACCGCTGATGAATCTCACCATGTTGTGTTTAGGCTGTTTTTGTCATTTCACACAGATTTGTGTTAATTGTTGGTCTGTTTTAAATGATTCCACGTGGCCCTGTGGTTGCAGGTACTCTTGTCTCTTATTTATTCCTCATATTGGTCATTTGTGTGTTTTTGTGGTTGATTGGCAGTTTGTGGTTGACTGACATCTCCATGAATGACTCTCAGACTCCTCTGTCTCCGTGAGGTCATCTTTGCCTGTCATCTCTTTGTAGATGCCGACTTTCTCTTTGATGTTCACACACATCGAAAGATGGATGAAACACAACAACACGTCGAGTTGATTCATTTGTCACGTGATGATTTGAATCTGATTTAAATTCAGAATAAAGTTTATCTGAGGGCGCCGCCTCCTGACGTGACGCAGGCGTGACGTAGCAGTCTGACGGACAGGTAAACCGACACCGGCCGCCATATTGGGAAACAACGGAAGTGCGTGCGTGTGCGTGTGTGTCTATGCGTGCGTGTGTGTGTGTGTGTGTGTGTGTGTCTCCTCCTCCTCTCTGGAGGAAGGGGCGGTCTGAGCGCCACAGCAGATCCGGAATTAGAGTTCGCTCGCTCGGCTCCGCTCGGCTCGGTCGCTCGGTCGGTTGTCGGGCTCCTGGTTCGGTTCCAGCCTCCAGACTCGGACAGACATTTTCCAAAAGAAGCAGAAGGAGAAGAAGAGTTTGTGGACAAAGTGTCGTGAGACGGAGGGAGGAGCCGCCGGAGTCCAGAGGAGGAAAAGTAGAAGGAGGAGAAGATGCCGCTGGCTCAGCTGGCTGACCCCTGGCAGAAGATGCCTGTGGGGGGGGCGGCAGGAGAGGTGAGGGGGTCCCAGGCTCCACACACACACACACACA